AGTGTATTTGTCAGACTATGAAACACTGACATAACATGGCCAAATGTGTCTGTCATGCTGCACAATAAATACAGTAAAATGTAGTAAAATATTTTACAAAACCTTTATGCAGCCCACCTGCATTCTGAGGTCACATCAATTGATCAGTGACCATTAAATCACAAAAACACTATCTTCAACCAATGCATAATATCCTGCTTGCTGTAGTTCTGCTTTACCTAATTCATTACAATAACATTTATAATAGAATCCCAGAACTAAACCCTAAATACCACACTGAAATAAAATAAACTGAAATTACTAAAAAAGTCATCTTTTTTATTTTAAGATGAAACCAACTGTTAGCAGCCACTGTTACCACAACTTCCTTCAGGACACTAACAACATCAAGCATTATGTCTTTTTTAGAGACAAACACAAATTGTTCCAAGGCCACAAAGGAAGTTTATGTTAAAGAAAGATAAGAAATCATGTTCTTATCTCTCATCTCTTTGTTCAGACCATTATGTCTCTCTTTCTCTCACATAAGCTGGTTATTCTCTGCATTTACATCATGACCATAAAGTGATTTTCTTGCTGGGAACCCAGAGCATAGGGGACCAACGCTTTAATATATTTGAGACTTGGCAATAAACCTCTGCCATTATTTTCTATTTCGTTCACCATTTACTTAGACACTTTTTGTTTAATAAGAGCTTTCTCAGTCATCTTCTGATTTTCTTATTTACCCTGAAAATTGTACTTACAGCATCACAGACTGTTTATAGAAATTGTGGCACCATAAAGGCAGCATTACCTCACTGCAGATTTAAGGATGATGAATAGGCAGACTGTGAGAGAACAGGGTTTTTTACTGTTAAATACAGACATTTGAATTAACAAGAAAACATGTAATGACAAAAAGCACTAAATGGATTCATGTTTCAACTTGATTTTTTTTTAACATTTAACATTAACTCCAGCAGGAACGTCAAATACTTCTCTCTTATCACTTTTTTAATTTCTGTTTTGCTTAAGCAAAGGACTAAACTCTCTCTGTTTTATACAAGAGAATTATTTTGATCCTAATGGCTAAAAATGCATTAATAGGAATCACAGGATCTGTACATCTATACCACCTTAATGTGGAGACTGTTCTTCAAACATAAGTAGTTTTATGAGCAGAAGAACTCACGTCTAAACTCCTCTTCTTAGACATGAGAGGCTGCAAGTGCTGATCTAGTCATACGCAGCAGCTGAGACATTCATTATATGTGGATTCTATGTGACCTAGTATCACAGATGAGTTCGCTCAGTATAGACATGAACATGTCTCCTCTACCTGGCTAGATATTTTCATCATATGTAATAGCTGACACATCTACCCTTCTGTCAGATATTATGCTTCAAAAATGGGAGAAATCTCTCTAAGAATTATGGAGGAAAAAGAAAAAGAAACTTTTAATGAAAACAGAAGAACAGAACTTTAGGACCAGAGAAATATGCACAGAAATGTCTTTGATTACACAGGAAAGATTTCCATGGAATAAACCTGTAACTATAAATTAAAATACCCTTTTTCTAGTCTTCCAGGATATAAATGGTGTAATGTACTACAGACTTTCTGGACTTCAACTATTTTAGACTGACACACTTCAAAGAAGTTCCAGTTTCTCTAGAGAACCATGTAAGCAGCTTGTGCTAATTACAGAGAGCCAGTTACAACACAGTCACTTGCTCTACGGAAACAGGAATTAAAGGATTAAGAAAACATAAGATATGCCAAAATATCATAATATCATCCTTTTAATTCAAAATTTACAAGTCAAGATTTGGGTGTTGGGGATGACAATACTATGACTACGCAAGATGTTATCAAAGGCATGAAAAAACCCTGTTGCTGAGTTATATTTGTTCACTAACTTCTTTCACTTCTAATATTGCTAACAGGCCTAGTCAGCCCCACACACGTGTTCCTTGTTATGTCCATTTGCTTTTCAGTTGGTTTCCCACACATCAAGCCAGACTACGAGCCTCAGGAGGGAGTTAGCTGCTCCTCCAAGCTGCTGTGAGTCACTGTGATGTCTGCTGCGTAAGCCAAATTAAGCCTGAATTTCTTGCTTCCACTAGGCAGCAAGAACAATAAGGACAAACATGGCAAGGACATGAGAAAAGATCAAAAAGCCAGGAATCCTCTCCCTCAATATCCCTACTTTCCTGTCATAGCTGCCACAGTCCATGGTGATGAAGGAAGTAAATCAAAGACTTAGTGCAGAATTGTGAGAAAGATTACAATATTCCAACTTTCAAATTTTCACTGTTACTTTAAATATTAATTTCTCATGACAAATGAAAAAAACCTATGCTACCTCATAAAATAAGTACATATTCTTGTACCCTGTTAGAAGTACAAAGACTTATGTCCACAGATTTATCCTTGGATGTGATCACACTTGTGACACATGTATTTTGTTTAAGCCTAAAATAAAGCTGTGCTAAATGAATACTTACCTAATAATTCAGCCTATTATTATTGTTTGTATATAGATTCCTATTGTTTTGGTAGATGAAACTCTTAACCACAGAAATTAAAACACTAACATGAATTGTTGACTGAAAGTCAAAACAAGTCACTTCAGCATTTTTTGTATTACAGATAATCACCTATTCAGGAACATCAATGGAGGAAGACTGGAATCACAAACATCCCTGCCACACACAATTTTTGAACTCTATTCTGAAATCAAGAATTTTCATTTGATCTCAGCTGTCAGGACAAGACACTGGGGTAAGAAATAGGGTTTCAGGTTGAGACCAGTCAGTTTAATGGTGATCATTAATCTGCTCTACATCATATTTTTAAGAAGCCCACTTTGTGGACAAGAAGTTCCTGAGGTACTGGCGTCTGGGAGGGAATTTTGGATGGGAAGGGGCATGAGGGGAAATGCCAGTATACACATGCACTTTGGAGGTACCAACCACTGCCAGAGAGAAGATACTGAGTTTAGAAGTAATGCTGTATTGCCACTTCCATATTCATTAAAAAAACACAAAACCCGCCCCCAGCAATAAGACCAACATTGAATACAAACTTTGTTTTTTTAATTATATCGGCACTACTCATGAACAGTACCTTCCTTCACTTGCAGGAGACTGCATAAATTCATTCCTCTGCATAGTGCTTTAAAACAGTCACCCTAGTACTCAGAAAAGCAGATATAACAGATCCATCATATGCAACTTACAACTGCTTGCAGTGTCCTTGCTGCCACAACTGCTTTTTGGGCATCATGAACAGCTGAAAGAAACACAAACCTGCTAATCACTGAGGTACACCTATAACTCTTAACGTATGTTGCAAATATAGTCTTTGCCTATTTCCTTTAAAAGCACCGCTTCCGTCTCATCCTAGCAGAATCACCAGCAGTTTGTTTTCATTCAAATCATTGCCTCTGCCAGACACTGGAGTGACTAATGAACTGCAGAATCTGGTCTGTATAAAAATTTGACTTCGCAAACTAACCATCAGCATTGTGATGACACTGCCACCCAAAATATCACAGTAACAAAAGAGTAACAATTTACACGGGCTCTAAGCCAGTCTGTCCTTCCTATTCAAATTTCAGGAAAGCATGACCTAATTTCTCTACAACTAGTAGAATCTGGAGCTTTTAATTCAGCTTCCTTTCCTTTCTTTATTTCAGCATATGTTTTTGCCACAGATGATTACAGTCATTAGGAGAAAAAGTATTTATTTGGATAAAATTAAATATGGCAAGTATATAGCCTATAATAAGAACCTAAGAGTAACAGAAAGAGCCTGTAGCACTCCTTGTCAACAGCTGAATACCTCTCCTGGTTATCTAGTGATAGACTCCCACACCTCAGACCGATCAGATGCACTGTAAATTCAATTCTGTCTATATTAGAACCATGTTGTTCCTGTCAAAACAAAGTTTTCTGAATCTTCCAGCAACTTCTACACTTCCAGTATCATGCCCACTTTACAAAAAAGGAAGATTAAGGCAGAGAAAACTGAGGAAAGAGGAAGAAAGAAGTAATACACTAAACAATACAAAGCAGTAGATCCACTACTCCTATTTATTCTTTCTCATATACAAGGCCAAATGGATATCCACTGGAATTGGAAAGAACCATACAGCATTACCCTGTACAATTTCTCACAGCAAGGTAATATAAGAGCTTGTTTTTTAACTCCACTTAATCCTTTCTAGGTGGTATTTTCTAAAATCTCCAGGTACATGAAGAACAGATGTCTATTGCCTTTCATTTCAATATTTCAGACAATTCCACAGTTTGTGACTAATTTCTGAGTAACAAGGACTTCATGTTTTATATTTAAGAATACAAATTTGAAACAGAGTTGCGGTGGCTACAATAGCACTTTTCCCCTTGTAAATATGTTATGCAAGTATTTATCTAAATAACATTTTTCTGTGGAAAGCTTATCTGATAACTAGTTAGCATTGCGCTTCAGACATACTGTCTCATACATTTGTATAGGACAACATATATGGTTAGCTATAAAAGTGATCTGAGCCGATATGAATATTCCTCTGTTTATACACAAGTTGCAATAACGGTATTCACTACTTGCATTCTGGACACTACCTGAAGAAAATCTGCAGCCAGACTACAGTTCGGCAGGTCACTGCCCCCCGCATTCTAAGGCAATGGAAAAAGCAGTCAGGTTTCCATTTGTTCACTATTCTGTTGCTCATTTGAACAGAATCCCATTAGAAATGGATAACCTAACTTATCAAAAAAACCCACTTCTTTCCTCAAGAATTTGTACAGGCAAGCATTTAGATTTTGGCACAGATTTATCCATTTATGTTTAAAAATCAGATGCTTAACAAGTAGCAGTAAACAACACATCCAAAACATAAGGTCTGTTTTTCCAGGTAAGAAAATACTGTGACTTATCACCATCACTGTATTAAACAAGATTAAAAATGTCAGAAACTAATTTCTGCAAATGCTTCACCTCTTTGTTTTACCTGCTTCTGTGTACTTTAATCCTACTTTTACTTCTTCGTGCTTTGCTTTTGGTGGTGGCCAGACAGTCTGGAGTCTCCCTGGAGTCTTGTCATCTTGCTCTGAGGGACTCAGGTCAGGCTGTTAAAATTACGCAAGAAAAAATTAAAGTCTGCAGTACCAACTGATTCCAAAACAGCAACCGTCATGCTCAGCTCTACATGTGTACTCCAGAATGGTTATCTGCCTCATTCTACTGATTGAAACAGTGCTCAGTTGGTTGGAAGGGATACAAAGAAATCAGTGTAGAAAAATAATTTGAGGAGGAAAATAACATAATGCATGTGACATACAATGATTTGTTGAAACTGTTCACATCAGCGTGGACAGCAGTCTATCCTTTGGTGAACCATAGAGGTGGTCACTAGGGTTTATTTCTTTTTTTCTGAGTGTAAAGACCCATCCGTGCTCCTCTTACAAGTAAACATTAGTGGGATTCACCTAAGACATCATTTGACAATATAATTTTCTGGAAGCAGAGCTAGTTTATGAAATTCCTGCCCCACCCCCAGCAGCTTGCTCAGTCCACATACCATGTAATACTGCCACATCAAAGTGCTGCTGCAGCTGTTAATGGAACTGCACTGTCAACTGGAATGCTAAAACAACCCTTTAAATGGGGAAAAAAACCCCACTAAACAAGTATTCTTTGAGAGATTTACATTTTGGGGTTTTTTTTTACATCTCTAACATTTCTGTAATCTGATTTACAACATGCTATACATGTAATTGCATAGACACAACTGCAGCAACAGCAAAACCCTATATGAAAGTGGCCCCATAAATGGCCCACACGAGCAAGGAAAAAGGAAAGGCAAGGCCCTTTTACTCTGGCTTTGCCCTGAGAAAATGTACATTTGTACTAGACCGGACATTAAGCAAACATTTATAAAAGCCACTCCTGCTGACTGCTGTGCTTCCTCCCTCACCGTACGTGACGACAGCTTTCCAAATAGGTTTGCTGTGAGCTACACAAACGCTTACACCAGCACAGCACAGGGAATGGTGTAAGGAGGAAGAAGCAAGCCAGGAATGGGAAGGGCACACACAGACTACAATTGCTGTACATGCCACGGCCAACGAGTAACTATTTTCTCCTCCCCATGTGTAATTTACTACGAACTGGTATTATCGGTCCACCCAGGTGTCAGTCAAGATTTTTAAAAAGTTTTTAATTTTATGTCAGAATAAAAATTTGAAAGAGAATACAACCAACACAGCAAATTAACTTAAGTAGCTTCAGGTTTAGGGTCCAATCCTGCAAATTTAATCATTCAGGTAACTCCCTCTTTAGTCAACAAGAACAATCTTCTGGGCTGATTATATCTGCCAAAGATGTAGCTGTAAGAATTCTGGGTTGGGGGAACTTTACACATTTAATTAAAGAGTTCAAATCACACTCAAATTCATTTATCATTATTGTTCTATGAAAACTTAGCATAGATTCTTTTTCATTTCTTAAAAATATACTAACTAAATCTCCATATGCCTAAGAATATTAACCTTGCAAATGCTTATATTAATCCACAACTTGAGTCATCTAATTGGAATCACTAAGTTATACTCAGATAAGGTTAAATGCTTATCAATATTTGCAAAGCCAGATATATACATGTAAATAAGAAAAAAATTACTTTAAATTCTATGTCTTGGACAAACTGAGTTGAAAATCATCCATAACTTCTTGTATCAGCTCTTATCATTGAATTATTCCTACAGGTAAAGTTAAATATTACTTTTAAAAATAAAAAACTCAAAGAAAAGAGAGCGAGAATGAGAAACTATTAAATAATACTACAGTAAATATTTGCAGAACCAAACTGATTTAAAGCCATACTTAATATGGGCAACTGTTTTGTAGTGATCTTTTAAAATCAGAAACTGATTTTTAAGTTCTTACTTCTAATAGAAAGGCTGTGACTATCACCAGTTCTCGCTGAATTCTGCTACAACTGCAGAAGATCAAGAATTTTGACAAATTAGCCCCAAGATTTCTTCAGTTGGGAATCCAAAATTTGAGATTGCCAAAAGAAGAGGACAATTCTGACATTTTGACCTTAAGTCCCCACCAATCATTTTTAAACAAGAAATTATTTTTTATCCAACTACTTCCAGATCTTAGGAAGAAAAAGTAATTCAACCTACAGATTTGTCTGATGGTCCATCTCCAGGTTTTGATTTTGACCTTTCAAATACAGCTTTCAAGGACTCTTTTTCATTTCTCATTTTGCGTTTTATGGCTTCCAGCTCTGAAGTATCTGCAGTTGTTTCTTTTTTGGGAGGCCGTGTGAATAAAGCTTTAAAGACGTCCAGTGCAGATTCAGCAGGGCTTGATTTTATTTCCTCAGAGGGAAATCGTGGTTCTGTTTTGCCAGAGGCTTTTTTCTCTTGAGGTTCATCACTGTCCTCGGTCTCCCCAGATCCCTCCCCAGAGTCCTCGATTCTATCTTCATTCTTGGAGACGTCTATGTTTAACAAGTGCGAGAGTTGTTCCAGGAAAGTAGGACTTGCTTTAGGTTCAGCTGATTTTTTTTTAGTGGTCAAACCTGATGTAATACTGGATTTCTTAACAGGCTGTCGTAATTTAAGCAGAGCTAAATCATTCTCCCTTGGTTTAATTTCTGTAACAATTTCCCCATCCTCTGTGGTTAGTCCCTTTTTCCTCACACGTAGTCCACTAAAGAAAGCGGGCAGCTGGAAAGTTTTTTCAGCCAGTGCTGTTTTTTGGAGCGATGTATTATCAGCTGAAGGTCTTTGTTCTTCATCTGGAAGTTCTTGAGGGCATTCCCCTGTAGCAAGCAAGTGACTGAACTGCTCATCCATTAACATTTTGTCTTTTCCACTGGAGTCATGCTCCAGAATACCATCCAGCTCTTTTGGGAGCCACTTGGAAATTGGTGGGTGTAACTCAATGTCATCTGTGTCCATAGTGTCATCACTGTTGCTGTGCCCTTCTGATTCTGACTCTTCCTTATTTTGATTGTTATCGTCCAAAGCCTCAGGAGACAAAGCAGCATTATTTAGCCCAGATTCGCTTGTATTGTTTTCATCGGTGTCTAGGTCCTTACTCTCTGTGTCCGATTCTGTATCACTTGTTGTATGAACCAAAGTACCTTGTACGAGAATAGCATCCTTGTCATCATTGTCAGATTCAGACAAAGAAGTCTGTACAAACCTTAAATGGTGAAGAAGTAATTCATTTTGCTCAGCTAACTCCAGTTCCAGGCCAGTTTGCCTGCCAGACATTGGGTCAGCTTGCCCACTGGTACTATTCATGCCGTGCTGATTTTCTGAGTCGTTACTACAATCATTATCATTCCTCTCATGCCAGGTGTGAGCATGAGTATTTATATTGGTGTGCAAAGGTTGAAATGCTTTAAGCACTGTTTCTTCTTTGGAAGCTGTAGATTCAAAAGTAGTTGTAAATCCAAAACGTGTTTTCACAGAAAATGTAGTGAAAAGATCAGGTTCGTTTTCTGCTGTATTCTCCAGGTCTGGAAGCTCCCTACAATCAGGCACCCCATTTTCTTCTTCCATGTTGCGTGAAGTACAGAATAGGTTTGCTTCTAGCAGTGCTACTAACTGCTAAACAAATATTCACTACATGCATTCAGACAGCAGACTGAACTCACCACAGGCGCTGCAAGAGGCAGCGCTCCCCTGCCCTGCAAAGGCAGCCAGCCTCCCCCAGGTCACCCTGCCCCTCCTTCCGCTTCCAGCGCTGCAGCCGGCGGCCAAAGCGTCCGTCTGGTCTCCAAGCTCTGCTTCAGGAGCAGCAAAAAGACCCACCGTAAGAAAAGTTCTCAGCAGTGTCGGCAACTTGTTCCTTTACACAAAGGGCTTTTTGTCACAGCAAATATGCCAGCGCACTAATCTCAGTTGAAAATTCGACCAATGGTTACTGCTGGGACTCCTGCAATCCTACTGGCTGCACACAACTTCTACGTGCTAAAAAGGCTGTATGAACAAGCCTCCTGAACAGAACTGGGCGCATTTGTAGTTTGCTACTTCCTTATCCCAGTACATGAGCTGTGAGTGGTTTTCAGCAGAAAATTCCTGACAGATCCTTTTGCATAGTCTCTCCACTTTGATAAAGATCTTCTTCTGTAAATCCATAATCACCAAAAAATGTCAAATGGAAACCCAAAGTAACGAATCTGAAGCTCCCAGTGCCACCGCCCGGAGCCTGTGCAGAGTCCCCAGTTCCCGGCCGGCCAGAGCAAACTCGGGTGAGCGCCCTTGAAGTCGAAGAAAGCAGAAAAAAAAGACGCCCTCTTCCGATTTGCTGCAGGTTTCATCTGGAATGCACATTTCAGC